GAATTACATTTCTTAATTTAATCTTGGGTACTTTATTAATTAATTATTAATTTTAAAATAATTTTTTTATATAAATTAATTATAAAATAATACATTTATTTGTCTCAGTGACTATAAGGCACTGCTCCCGGCAAGGCAAGGAGGAGAGATGCTGAACGGAATTACATTTCTTAATTTAATCTTGGGTACTTTGTTAATTGAACTTAGAACTTTTTATTAGCATTAATTTACAAATTGCTTATTCATTAATGAGTTTTTCTAACAAGGAGACATTAATTTATATATAAAAAAATAAAGATTGATATTAATTTTAGTATTGTTATTACGTAGATAAATTTAATTTAATAATTGATAAGTTAAAAGTTAATTTTTATTTTTTAATTTAAATTTATAATAAAATTTTTTTATTATATTTTAAAGGCAAATGATACAAATGTCCTTAATTAATAACCTTATTTTGGTAAAACTTTATCAGTGCACGGTATCTTCATTTTTGTCATTCAATTGACAGCGTTTAAAATATTAATTACTACTTGATCTTTTTCATAATAATTATCATATTTTTATTTTTTAATTACAAGTTTAAAAACATTTATATATTTACTTATATTATTTTTAAAAAAAAGTTAAATGATAAATTAAAATTTTTTGTAATAAGATAATTAATCAAAAGAAATAAATAATGATATAGTTAAAATAAAAAATATTTGTCTACTTTTAAAAATAAAGTAATAATTAATTTGAGATAAATTTAAAATAAAAATAATAATTATTTTAAAACAGAAAAGTATTAATCTATTATTAAAAACTAACCATTTTTATTTAAAATATTTTGAAATTTTCTAAGTTATATTTTTAGTACCCAAATTAAAGGTACATTTATTATATTTTTTTGTAATTAATTTGTACCAAAAAATTAAAAAATACTAACATTAATTTCATCAATTATTCAATTAAAAATATGTATGTCACATTATTAATAAAAATAAAGTCAACCTTTATGATTTTTTTTTATAAAAATTAAATATAAAAAAAAAAACAATTAACACACCATAAATAATAGGTTAAACAAACCCCCTTTTTTTATTCTACATTGACGGTCTAAATAACACATAATAAACCTATGGCTTCTATTTGCTCACTTGAAGGATTTCTAGTTCCAGCTCCACCACTGAATTGTCTTCCCATTATGTTAGCTCCAGCTCCACCACCGAATTGTCTTCCCATTATGTTTCCATCCGTGCAGGAAGTACTTGCATTCTTCTTGGTGCAGGAAGTACTTGCATTCTCCTTGTTGCAGACACATCGTTTTTATTTTAAAAACGTCAAACCTCCTATTTGCACTTTTTATTTATTTTATTTTCATGCTCAACATTTTACAATATTTTTTCTC